ATCCTAGATCCCTCGCTTGCGCAGTCCACAATAGGGTTCACGCTCCTATGAGAATCGAATGCTGCAGCTGATCTGACAGGAGGTGGAGCTCAAGTGGTCATGCTAGAGATGGGGATGGGGTGCGGCTGAAAATACCGATGAGGCTTCTCTCACTCACCTGCTACTCACCTCCTGCTGTGCAGCCCCGTTCCTAACAGGCCCAATTCTTAACAGTGCTGGTCTGTGGCCCAGGGGTTGGGGACCCCTGCTTTAAATCACCTCTAGATTACTTATAATGCTAAATACAACATAAATCCTGCATAAATAGTTGTGAAACTCTATTGTTCGGGGAATAATGATAAGAAAAAAGTCTGTACGTGTTCAGCACATATGCAGTTTTTTTCTTTTCTTAATAATTTCTATCTGTGGTTGGTTGAATCCATGGATATGGAACCCATGGATGTGGAGGGCGGACTGTATAGTGAAAAGTCACTGTCTCATTCCTGTCCCTTAACCATTCAGCTCTCCCTCTCCCAATAGACACATTTTCTTTTTTTTTTTTGAAGACAGAGTTTTGCTCTTGCTTGCCGCATACACTGGAGTGCCCACGTGGCCTCGATGCGGCGCTACCTCGGGCGCGCCGCAACTCCTGGGTTCAGCAATTCTCCCTGCCTCAGCCTCCAAGTAGCTGGGATGCCTCAGGTGTTGCGCCACCATGCCCAGCTCATTTTCTGTATTTTTAGTAGAGATGGGATTTCACCACTGTGGCCCAAGGCCTGGTCTAAAACTCCTGACTCAGGCTGAGTCTGCCCGCCCCTTCAGCCCAGCAGTGCTTGAGAATTATCAGGCACGAGGCACACTGTGCACTGGCTGACAATTTTTTACCTCTTCTTGTATATCTGTCAGACATATTTTATGTTATGGACCACTTACATATACCATTAGTTCCCATTTTTAAAAAACACATTAACTTAGAACATGTGTAAATATACTTTTTTTTTTTTGAGATGGGTTTTGCTCTTGTTGCCCAGGGCTGCAGTACTAATGGTGCGATTCTCGGGCTCACTGCAAACCTCTGCCTCTGGTTTCAACAGCTCTCTGCTCGCCTCGAGTTGGCTGGGATTACAGGCAGTGGCACCACCATGCCTGGCTAATTTTGTATTTTTAGTAGAGACGGGGTTTCTCCATGTTGGTCAGGCGGGTCTTGAACTCCTGACCTCAGGTAATCTGCCCACCTCAGCCTCCCAAAGTGCTGGGATTACAGGCGTGAGCCACTGTGCCCAGCCGTAAATATGCTTTTTGTAGGTTCTCCTAGTTCAGATGTAGGATCAGTCTGATGTTAGGTTCTTAGGTAAGGACCTATATAAAGACAGTATAAAATGGTACCTAATATTACAAAGCTTTATTAGGAATGGCAAAGGGATAATATGGCAGCTTCCTCCCTGTCAGTTCTGCATTGGTGACTAAGGATCTCAAATTTCTGGATAATCTGGCTTCCTTAGTTATGATGAGAGACCAGAACTGCTGATAGCATATGAAATCTTCAGGGGAGTTTTGAATGTTTTTCATTTTTTAATCTGATATGATGTAGCAGACATGACATTGACTCACGCGTAAGCCCCAAACATGCCGAAGCCGCGGGAACTCTCTATCAGCCATAGCAGGCTGCTCTGGAGCCGCGGGTTCAGGCAGCTGTTGAGTGGGCCTGGGAGGCACGGAGGGAAAGGGAAGAGGGCCAGCACTGGTTTAGTCTCCTGGACATAGTCATGAAATCTCATTGTCAGAGGAAACCAAGAAGTCATCTTATCCTGCTGCTGTTTTCCTTCCAGGGTCTCTTCTGCAGGGTCCCCATGACTTGTGACTGAAGCTGTGCACAAACAAACGTCTCCAGTGACAGCAATGCCTTCTGAGGCAGCCCATTGCATCTTCATCTGCTGACACTCTGTTAGGCTGACTTCTGTAGTTTTCACCACTGATCTTCAGTCCACCTCACAGAGCTCTATAAAATGCTTGGATCCTCTTCACATCATAGACTTTCAGCTACTTGAAGATAGCCGTCAGCCCCTCATGAATCTTTTCTCCAGGTAAAATCTCCAGTTACAGCAGCTGGTCTTCATATGGCCGAGTGTCGAATGCCTTTGCTCTCCTGGTCATTTTTTGAATTTCTTCAGTTTGCCCATGTCTCAGAGTGTGGAGTCCAGCACTGCCTGTGTAACGTTCCCAGGATGTTCTGCCTGATATAGAGTAAGCCTGGTGTCACCCATGTCCTAGGAACTGAGACCCCGTCACTACTGGTGATGCAGTCTAGGATCAAACTGTTCTTTTGGCAGCCACTTCACATTTTTGTGTTAAGGGCTTACTGTTAGCCAAACACAATTTTTTTGTTTTTTGTTTTTTTGTTTTTTCCGAGACAGGGTCTCACTCTGTCACCTAAGCTGGAGAGTAGTGGCACGATCTTGGCTCACTGCAACCGCTGCCTCCTGGATTCAAGCAATTCTTTCACCTCAGCCTCCTGAGTAGCTGGGACCACAGGTGTGCGCCACCACACCCGGCTAATTTTTGTATTTTTAGTAGAGATGGGGTTTTGCCACGTTGGCCAGGCTGGTTTCGAACCCCTGACCTCAAGTGATCTGCCCACCTTGGCCTCCTGAAGTGCTGGGATTACAGGCGTGAGCCACCACACCTGGCTGACAGATTGTTGTTACCATTAATGTCACGCGAACTACCGCCAAGGGCATCTCCCCTTCCTGTTCTTGGAGGATGTGTTGGATGCTTCCTGTGCCCCTCCCTGGAGATGCTTTTGGCCCCACAGCTTCCTCCAGCCAATGTAGCAGTGACTGGGTCTGTGCAGGCTTTGGTCACCCTCACTCAGGCGTGATGGGGTGATGCCTTTCTTTGGCCTGCCCCAGGTATCTTTTACTTCCTGGGATGTATCTGATGCTATAGTATGGGATGCTGCAGAGACTTCCAGCACCAACCCCCTGGAGTTGGGCTTTATTTCACAGGTTGAGGGCACCATCCTCCACAAGAATCCCCAACTTCAGCCACCAGCTGGCAGTAGGTTTGGGGGTCCTCAGACCACCCTCACTTCTGGCCAGATGGCTACGAATTTGGCGATTTCCACTACCCCCTCAGGTTTGATCATTTGTTAGAATGATTCACAGAATTCAGGGATGTACCATTACATCCCATCCCTGATGTACAACTGTACAATTACAGTTTTATTAATTGATCAATAAAGCAAAAGGATGCATATGAGTCAGTCAAAGGGAAAGACACATAGATCTGGGAGGGCAGCAAACACAAAGCCTTCAGTGTTCTTCCCCGTGGAGTCAGGGGCCGTTACCTTTCCAGCACATCGACGCGTGACAATGTATAGAGTATTGCCAACCAACGACATTCTCCTGAGCTTCAGTATTCGTCATTCTTATTGCGGCTGCATCGCATAGGCACAATTGATTGAATCATTGGCCATGTGACTCAAACTTTAGCACCCTCATTTTTCCAGAGGTGATCTTGTTAGCATAAACTATCTAGGGGCCCACCCTGAGTCATCTTGTTAGCATCAACTTACAGATGTGCGCCCACCATGATAACAAAGACACTCCTATCACTCTGCAAAGTCCAAGGGTTTAGAGGCTACCTTCCAGAACAGCCAAATTCATTACTATACAGATGCCCTAGGAATCTGTTGGTGTTCATACCAATGTGACCTAGAAGTGTGGGTGGCCTAACACCTGTTGAGTTGTTCTTGACTAACAGGGAATGAGTACTGAAGGATACTTGTTTTCTCTTTTGTCTCCTGGGTGGACAGTTCTGACGGGCATTTGATATGGCTTCTTAGAATGTCCAGCAATGGCCGGGCATGGTGACTCAAGCCTGTAATCCCAGCACTTTGGGAGGCTGAGACAGGCAGATCACGAGGTCAGGAGATCGAGACCATCCTGGCTAACACGGTGAAACCCTGTCTCTACTAAAAATGCAAAAAATTAGCCGGGCGAGGTGGCAGGCACCTGTAGTCCCAGCCACTCGGGAGGCTGAGGCAGGAGAATGGTGTGAACCCGGGAGGCGGAGCTTGCAGTGAGCCGAGATCGTGCCACTGCACTCCAGCCTGGGCGACAGAGCGAGACTCCATCTCAAAAAAAACAAAAAAAGAAAAGACTCCGTTTCAAAAAAAAAAAAAAAGAATGTCCAGCAGTAGCGAACACTGGTCCCACAGTGGGAGCTCAGCTTGATAACTCATCCTTCTATTGTCTGTCCCTTCTGCCCTGTTTTACTCCCTCAGGCCCTCATTCCTGCTCCCTGGGATCACTTCCCAAAGAAAGTACCTGCACTTAAGCTTTTGTCTCAAGTTTTGCTGTAGAGAGCTAGACCTAGAATGCTGTTTATTATAATAAACTTTACATGTTTTAAAAAACAATGTTTTGGCCAGGCGCAGTGCTCATGCCTATAATCCTAGCACTTTGGAAAGCTGAGGCAGGCGGATCACCTGAGGTCAGGAGTTCAAGACCAGCCTGACAAATATGGTGAAACCCCGTCTCTACTAAAAATACAAAAATAAGCTGGGTGTGATGGTGTGCCTATATCCCAGCTAATCAGGAGGCTGAGACAGGAGAATTGCTTGAACCCGGGAGGTGGAGGTTGCAGTGAGCTGAGATCACGCCACTGCATTTCAGCCTGGGCTGCAGTGAGACTCCGTCTCAAAACCAATCAATCAATCAATCAATCAATTAAAAAATAAAAAACATGCTTTTTTTCCCTGATGTGGAAATTAAGTGATTATAAAATGAGACTAACTTTTTCACTATATATTCTTGTTGTTAATATGGTACAGAGCTGTGATGCTTCTGCAAAAGGTGAGTTGAGTGTACAGCAGGCCTCCTAACTCTAGAGATGATGTATCCTTCCATATTGATTGCCTTTGTGAAGTCACAGACACAAGCAGGGAGAAGCCGTGAAGATACATAAACAGCTGTGTTTTCCAGGCTCAGATCACTAACATGCTCGTGATTTCTTTCTAGGTCTGATTTTTGTGGTTGACAGTAATGACAGAGAGCGGATTGATGAGGCCCGGGAAGTACTAACTTACTTATTAGAGGATGATGAGCTCAGAAATGCAGTTTTATTGGTATTTGCCAATAAACAGGTATGTTGTTATTGACTTTCTGAATGCTGGAACTGAAATTTACTGCCAAATGTCTCACTTATGAATGTAGACATTTAAATGAGATGTCTGCCTCCCTCTCTCCAGTCCCAACCATAACGTCTCCCACCATCTCCTTGCTAGAATATCTTTTTCTTACTGAGACAGTCGTACTCTGTTGCCCAGGCTGGAGTACAGTGGTGTGATCTCAGCTCACTGTGACCTCCACCTCCCAGGTTCAAGTGATTCTCCTGCCTCAGCCTCCCAAGTAACTGGGATTACAGGCATGTGCTGCCATGCCCTCCTAATTTTTGTATTTTTAATAGAGACTGGGTTTCACCATATTGGCTAGGCTGGTCTTGAATTCCTGACTTCAAGTGATCCGCCCACCTTGACCTCCCAAAATGCTGGGATTACAGGTGTGAGCTATCGAGCATCTACTAAGTTCCAGACTTGGTTTTAGGCTTAAACTAAGACAGACAAAATCCTCGTGTTCATGGAGTTTACGTTGCTAGTGGGAAGAGAGTCAACCAATAAATAAAATGTCATGTGCCAGGTGTGGTGGCTCATGCCTGTACTCCCATCATTTTGGGAGGCTGTGGCAGGGGGATCACTTGAGCCCAGGAGTTCAAGACCAGCCTGGGCAACATAGTGAAACCCCATCTCTACAAAAAAGTACAAAAATTAGCTGGATGTGGTGGCATGCACCTGTGGTCCCAGCTATTCAGGAGGCTGAGGTGGGAGGATCCCTTAAGCCTGGAAGTTCGGGGCTGCAGTGAGATGAGATTATTCCATTACGCTCCATCCTGGGCTACAGAGTAAAACAAATAATAACACGTGTCAGATGGTAAGTGTTGTGGAAGAAGGAAAAGCATAGTAAGGGGGCAGGGTAGGTGTGGGAAAGACTGGGAATGCCTCTCTGATAAGATGACATCTGAGCAGAGACCAGAAGGCCAGGAGGAAGGGAGCCACACGGTTCTAGGAACAGCATGGCAGCCAGCGCAGCTGGAACAGAATGAGCAGGGGAGAGAGGAGATGAGATTGGATCATATAGGGCCTGTTTTGGAGGAGGAAAAGGGCTTGTACATAAATGTAAAACAGTAAAAGAAACATGGGAGGAAGACCAAGCGTAGAACTATCCAACCTCAGGACTCTGAGCTAAACTAAGCATGAAAAAGAAGGTAGAAAGAACCATGTGGAATTGTACCAGCCTGAGATGACCACTGTCACATTCTGACATCCTTCCTTCACTTTCTCTTCCATGAGTGCATTCATTACGTAATTGAGATCATACTGTTTTGACAATGTTGCATCCTGTTTTATCACTTTAGATTTATCAAATTGTCTCTTGTTATCCAACTCTTTGTAGACATGGTTTTAAATGGTCAATGGATCATCATTTGTACAACTGTTACTCCACTGTTCAGGTTCAATGTCAGTCCAGAGTTTGCACTACTGAATATATGACTATTAAAGAAAGAAAATGAATCTGGAGTGTGTGTGTATGTGTGTGTGATTTTTTTGTTTTGTTGTGTTTTGAGACAGGGTCTTTGTCGCCCAGGCTGGAGTGGAGTGGTGTGATCACAGTTTACTGCAGCCTCGAACTCCTGGGCTAAAGTGATCCTTCCTCAGCCTCCCAAGTAGCTGGGACTGCAGGCACATGCCACCATGCCCAGCTAATTTTTTAATTTTTCTTTTTTTTGTTTTGTTTTGTTTTTTGACTCACGCCTGTAATCCCAGCACTTTGGGAGTCCGAGGCGAGCGGATCGGGAGGTCAGGAGATCAAGACCATCCTGGCTAACATGGTGAAACCTCGTCTGTACTAAAAATACAAAAAGTTAGCTGGGCGTGTGGCGGGTGCCTGTAGTCCCAGCTACTTGGGAGGCTGAGGCAGGAGAATGGCATGAACACGGGGAGGCGGGCTGCAGTGAGCCGAGTTCACTCCCACTGCCCTCCGAGCCGGGCAACAGAGTGAGAGCTCCATCTCAAAAAAAAAAAAAATTTTTTTTCTGTAGAGCGAGATCTTTGCCATGTTGCCCAGGCTGGTCTCAGAACACCTGTGCTCAAGCTGTCCTCCACCTCAGCCCTGGCAAAGTTGTGGGATTCAGGTGTAAGTACTGTTCGCTTGGTGCCTTTGTTTTTTCAATAGATAAAAACCGATGTTCTTCATGGGGGTGATAAATACGCATTTACACTTTCAGGATATTCAAGTGAATAGTTGGGTGCTACTTTCATTGTTAAATATTCTTTCTCTTCCAGAATCCACCTTCTCTGCCTGTGTGTACAGGCACTTGTATGATTGTGTTCTTTCACTTAGCATATCTTGGGAAGTCCTTCCATATCAATACATCTACAGTACTTTGTTCATTTGTTTTGTTTGTTTGTTTGTTTGTTTGTTTATTTGGATGGAGTTTCACCCTTGTTGGTCCAGTTGGATGCAATGGCGCTATCTTGGCTCATCGTAACTTACGCCTCCTGGTCAAGCAATTCTCCTGCCTCAGCCTCCCAAGTAGTTGGGATTACAGACATGCGCCACCACTCCTGGGCTAATTTTGTATTTTTAGTAGAGACAGGGTTTCTCCATGTTGGTCAGGCTGGTGTGAACTCCCAACCTCAGGTTGATCCACGCCTTGGCCTCCCAAAGTGCTGGGATTACAGGTGTCAGCCCCGTGCCCGGCCTTACTTTGTTCTTTAATGCTGATTTATTCAAATTTAGTTTGAGCTTATTCTGTGCCACGCACATTTTGAGGCACTTGGGATACATCAGAGGACAAGATAGATCAAGATTCCTGCCCTCGTAAAGCTTGCATTCTAGTTAGGGGAGACAGATAGACAGTTAATAATAAATATACTTAAGTAAGTAAATGTCATGATACAGTAACGTATGGTGAGTGCCACATTGAAAAGATGGAACTGACCACTTCGGTGAGGTCTCCAGTCCAGGAGGCTTTGTGGACCGTAAGGACTCTGACTCGTATCCTGAGAGAGGGGGAGCTGTTGCAGTTTTGATAGAGGAATGATTCAATCTGATTCACTGGTGGCTTGATTGAGAATAGGCTTCACGGGATCCAGAGCAGAGAAGTAGGGAGGCCAGTTAGGAAGTTATTTCAGTCATCCAGGTGAGAAGTGATGTGGCGTCAGGTTGGGGTGACAGCTGTGAAGTTAGTAAGTGGTCAGATTCTGGATAAATTTTGATGGTAGAGCCATTAGGAGTTCCTGACAGATTGGCTGTGACATTGAGAGAAAAAAAGTTAGGATAATTTCAAGCTTTTTGACCTGAGCAACTAGAAGGTTGGGGTTGCCATCAACAGAGAAGACTGTGGGTTTGGGCACATTTAGCAGGGAAGAGCATATTTCGCTATACGGATACAACAGTATACATTGACTTTTGAATGTTCTTTTTCAAGGATCTCCCTAATACTATGAACGCGGCAGAGATAACAGACAAGCTCGGCCTCCATTCCCTCCGCTACGGAAACTGGCACATTCAGGCTACTTGTGCCACTACCGGACATGGGCTTTACGAAGGCCTGGACTGGCTCGCCAACCAGCTCCAGAACCAGAATTGACCAGAAGGATCTATTCTTTGTGCCTTGTGGCCACATCGGCTGGCCTCTGCTGCGTGCACGTGTACCTGTGTGCTGGGAGTGGAGGCAGCTTTCTCACAGTGCCTTATCCATGCCATAAGAAAAGCAGTGTTACATTTTAAGAAACCCCGTGTTAAGTTTTAAACACCACCTTCCATTTCAGTAGCTTTGATGATCATTTTTGCAGTTGACGGAGAAGTCCAGAGGGCTTGCTAGTGCTCGAAGGCCACAGCAGGCTTCATGGTGGAAAGGAGGAGGAGAGTTGGAGTGGGAACTGAGTTCAGCTGTTGCAATCCTGGTCTGGCATCTGGAGTCCTGTTAGTCTTTGGTGTCCTTTCGTAAAAAGGAAGGAATTGTCATTCTTTTTTTTTTTTTTAAACCATATTTTTACTGTACCTTTTCATGTTTATTTTTTATTAAAAATTTTCTTTTTTTTTTTGAAACAGCCTCCCACTCTGTCGCCCAAGCTGGAGTGCAGTGGTACGATCTCAGCTCACTGCAACCTCCGCCTCTCGGGCTCAAGCAATCCTCCCACCTCAGCCTCCTACAGGTGTGCACACCACACCTGGGTAATTTTTGTACTTTTTGTGGAGATGGGGTCTCGCCATGTTGCCTGGGCTGGTCTCTAACTCCTGAGCTCAAGGGATCCACTCACCTCAGCCTTCCAAAGTGCTGGGATTACAGGCATGAGCCACTACACTCCCCAGAAATCATCATTCTTTACCATCACTGCTGGGGCTAGCAGCTCACTCTTCAGTGCTTTAAAGCAAATGATCCTCAGGAAAGAAAAGGTACTTGCTTATTGCAGGTGCGAAAGAGTTCAGGATTGGTGGGAACTTTTCCTGACGCTGTATTTATGCCCAGAGTTCCTGATGGTAAGTGCTTTACTTAAAGATATCAGTGGAGCTTTTTCACTGGCATGTCAGAGACTTTCATAACCTAGAGGGGTATCCAGCTTTCCTATGATAGTTCCTTTCCCTTATTTGCCAGGATGGGGAACCCCTGTGGGGAGGTGGACAGTGTGAGGCCCGAAGGTCATTTCCCAGAGCCCCGCCAGGGCCAGCGGAGGTCGTGTCTTGCACTCTGGCCATACGTCTGGGGTCTCGGTCCTGGGAACTGCAGGCTCCCACATCCCTGCTCGAGATAAATGGTTCTTTCCCGTGAAGCAGACGGTTCACTTTTGGGATGCGCTGTCCCAGGGTTAGGCGTTGGTCTCCAGGTCCAGATGATGTTTGGTTAGTTTCCATTCCCAAACCACACGGCCTATAGTTTCTTGAGGTTTTTGGGACAGGACTCAAGATCTAATTGAGAGATGGAGCATTCCAGCTACCCTGGTATTGCCCCGAGTTCGTGGCAAATTTCAGTGATGTGGAGTGTAGCTCCTTGTCTAAGAACCAAGCTCCACTCACATTGCCTCCTCTTTGGATTGGTCCCATGGCATCTCTGACCCTGGAAATGTGTATTTATGTGTTTCTTCAAATTAATAAAAAATTCCTGGAGAGGAGGTTTCACTAGCGGTCTAGAGCTCGTTTATCCAGAACAAACTTGTTGGTTCACATTAGTACCTAAGCACTTCTTATCCTCTTACCTTTTTTTTTTTTGAGATGGAGTCTTCGTGTATTTGCCCTGGCTAGAGTAACAGTGGTGAATCTCGGGCTCACAGCAACCTTGCTTGGTTCAAGCGATTCTCCCTCCAGGCCTCCTGAGTGCTGGACTACAGGCATCTGCCCACCATGCTCCTGGCTGATTTTTATCTACTTTAGTGGAGGACAAGGTTCATCATGCTGGGGCCATGGCCTTGTCTGACACTCCTGACCCTTTTGATCCGCCTCCTGCGCTCCCAAAGTTGTTGGATTAACAAGGCCCGACCACCGCACCTGGTCCTCCGAGAAATATTTAGATAGGTTACAGCCTCAAAGGGCAGGACTGTGTCTTTTCATCTTTGTATTTATGCCTACCAGATGTAACCTAGTACAGTGCCAGCCCTCGTTAAAATACTATTGATTGCTCAGACAATAAAGACCTGCTTGGAAGGAGGAGAGGATAGCCATTTGTGCTTCTGAATGTCTTTGAGCTTGTTGAAATTCTCTGATTTTCCGCCATTCCAGTTTAGCAGAGTTCGTTGAAATCCTATGGCTGTGGTTTATGGAGGAAAAACTCAGAGGTGCTGTCCTGGCCTTAGGGCCCTGGCAGTACGCCTTGCTGGACTTTTCACAGCAACATCACTACAGCCTTTCCCACCACCTGTGACGCTGGAGCGGTGAGTCAGTGTTAAGTGTAAGTGGGGAGCAGTTTCAGTATCAGTAGTTTGAGGAAAGACTTGGTCCTGAAAGCCATGTTTGCATTCCCTGCCATGTCCCTCACTGGCTGCTAGCCTCAGGCCACTGACTCTTAGCCTCTGTATGCGGGAGCCTCAGTTTGCCTAAACTGTTAAATGGGGATACTGATTCCTGCCTCATAGGGTATGAGGATTAATGTTCCCTATCTTTGAATGTCTTGCTCTGGTGTTTCCCTGGAGATATCTTGTCCAAGTATGAACAGCAGTGCTGGCCACAAACTCATCAGCATTATTATTATTATTATTATTATTATTATTATTATTATTATTATTTTATTATTTTTGAGACAGAGTTTTGCTCTGTCACCCAGGCTGGAGTGCAGTGGCACGATCTCAGCTCACTGCAAGCTCTGCCTTTCGGGTTCACGCCATTCTCCTGCCTCAGCCTCCAGACTAGCTGGGACTACTGGCACCTGCCACCACGCCCAGCTAATTTTTTGTACTTTTAGTAGAGATGGGGTTTCACTGTGTTAGCCAGGATGGTCTGGATCTCCTGACTTTGTGATCCACCCACCTCAGCCTCCCAAAGTGCTGGGATTACAGGTGTGAGCCGCCGCACCTGGCCTATTATTATTATTGAGACAGAGTCTCACTCTGTTGCCTAGGCCAGAGTGCAGTGGCACAATCTCAGCTCACTACAACCTCTGCCTCCCGGGTTCAAGCGATTCTGCTTTCTCAGCCACCCGAGTAGCTGGGATTATAGGCATGCACCACCACACCTGGCTAATTTTTGTATTAGTAGTAGAGATGGGGATGTACTATGTTGGCCAGGCTGGTCTTGAACTCTTGACCTCAAGCGATCTGCCCGCCTCAGCCTTCCAAAGTGCTGGGATTACAGGCGTGAACCACTGTGCCTGGTCACTTTTAAAACATTTCTATCACCCTGAAAAGAAACCCTGTACCCTTTAGCGATCACTCCTCATTTCCCCCATCCCCCGCAGCACTGGGCAACCACTAACCACCGACCTACTTCCTATCTCTACATCTGGTGGAGATGCTTTTTAAACTTTTTTTTACTACCCTGTGGTCCGTGAGGAGCATTACACTGATAAATTCTCTCCTGTTTTTTCATTCTCTCCATCCTCTTTTGCTCTAGTGCATGGCATGGGAAGCCCTCTCTAGGAGGATGCTGTGGTCACACAAGCACTGGACGAACAGCTGGAGTAGGCGACTTCCAAAGTGTCCTAATGTAGCTATTAGACCAACTCCTGCATTTGGCCAGTAATTAGCGTGCTGCTGCACATTGCCACTAGGTGGTGCTGCTGCTCCATCCCAACTAACCCACATGCACTCCCTGGCTAGGGTCAGCCTTGGGGGTTCCCAAATGTAGGGGAATCCATCTCTGTGTCTATGGTAAGGGCTGGACACCAGGAGAGACCCAGAAAACAGGGATATTCCGAGAAGAGAAAGGCAAAATAAGCGCTCAAAGCAGAGGACTTTTGAGTGTCAATAATGAAGGTGGCAGCAGTAATCATGGATACCATTTATTAAAAATAGTGAATATTGGCCAGACATGGTGGCTCACACCTGTAATCCCAGCACTTTGGGAGACCAAGGCAGGTGGATCACTTGAGTTCGAGACCAGCGTGGCCAACATGGTGAAACTATCTACTAAAAATACAAAAATTAGCCAGGTGTGGTGGTGCACGCCTGTAGTCCCAGCTACTCGGGAGGCTGAGGCAGAAGAATCACTTGAACCTGGGAGGCAGAGGCTGTAGTGAGCCGAGATCGCGCCACTGCACTCCAGCCTGGGCGACAGTGCAAGACTGTCTCAAAAAAAAAAAAAAAAAAAGTAGATATTGTGCTAGTCACTTGATACACATCATTTCATCATTTCTGATCTTTGCACTGAGCAAGGCATGTATATTATGTCTGCATTACAAAAGGGGAAAAATTAAGGTCCAAGAAGATAAAGTGGCCAGGCATGGTGGCACATGCCTGTAATCACAGCACTTTAAGAGGCTGAGACAGGTGAATCGCTTGAACCCAGGAGTTTAAGACCAGCCTGGGCAACATAGTGAGACCTCGTCGCTACAGAAAATAAATAAATAAATAAATAAATAAACAAAATTAGCTGGGTGTGGTGGTGCGTGCCTGTAGTCACAGCGCCTTGGGAGGCTGATGTGGAAGGATCACTTGAGCCCGGAAGATAGAGGCTGCAGTGAGATGAGACTGAGCCATTGCACTCAGCCTAGGCAACAGAGTGAGACCCTGTCTCAAAACAGAAATAACAAATATAAGGTGACTTGCTGGAGGCCACATGGCCATGAGCCAAATACAGCTCTGGGGTAGCAGGGCTCACATACTTCTGAGTATACCCTACTGCCTTGGAATCTGCTGAAGACCAAGCCCCTGCCCCCACGCCATGGCAGAGGAGGAGGGAAGGAAGCAAAGGTGCCCATCGGAGACACCTTGGGTGGGGGGAGGCACCCAGGGCCCAGGAAGGCCAAGCAGCATGTGGCAGGGCAGATCAGGTGACACCCAAGAAGGAATGAGGAGAGGCTGTGAGGCAAGAGCCACAGCACAGAGTCCTGCTGTTAGGTCTGTGAAGACCACGGCCCATGGGACCTGGATCTACCCTTGATGCTAATAATGTTCTTTGGGGAAAAAAACTATAATCACAAAGTTTCTGCAACTGGACCGTAGCAATGATTGCAGAGCTGTATAGATTTACTAGGAACCATCAAACTGTTCACTTACAATGGATAAATTGTACAGTACATAGGTTATCCCTCAGTAAAGCTGTATGAAGTTTATAGTCAAGAAACCAATAGTGACAAGGGAGCTGAGAAAGTAGGTCTCAGCCGTGCTGTAGGCACTTTGAGAAGAGGAAGAGTAGATTTCAGGTTTATTGAAAGCCTGGCCCATGACATCCAGCTTCTGCTTGAATACTCTCAGTGCCCGGGAGCTCAGTATCTCAAAGCAGCCCACTCTGGTTTAGGATAACTCTCTAATCCTTAGAATGTCAAAATACATCATTACCATTATTCTTAAACTGCTATGAAAAATAAATGTCTGTGTTTTGCCACATAACATTTCTCTGAGAGCTTGAGGACAGTTATTGCGTTTTCCCAAGTCATTTTTGTTTCAGACAG